TCCCCGGTAGCTAGGGGCGGGGCGGGGCGGGGCTGATTTCCTCCCCTCCCCTCCCCGGAAGACTGGTGGTGTCTCTACAGCTGCGCGAGTTGGCTGAGAGCAGCGCTGCCCCTGCTATGAGTATGCAAAGGATGCAGCCCGGCCGCGCCTGGAGAGCCCCCTGGGGAGAGTGCAGGCCCCAAATAACGACATACAGGGTCCCTGCCCCCCGAAGAGTTCATAATCTGGGGACCACCCAGCCCCTGCAAGCTTGTGCACAGGTGGCACCTGAGTGTCTGTCTGGCTTCAGCGGCTTTCCACGTGGGAACAGGAGTAGGTGGCAGAATCAATGAAGCCCAGATAGGGCAGTGGGGAGGTCCACCTAAGTACAACGAAAGTGAACCGTTATTAGCTACTATGGACATACGTGGTGACAGTGCCAAAGCATTCAGAAATCGTGAGTCAAAGGAGGAAAAAAATCTCTGTGAAAGCCATGAAATGGAATAAATATATATTGGTTCTTTTTATTTGCCCTCTGGTTTTGGAGGCTTTGTTTAGGGGAATAGATTGTTGAAAGAAAAACAAAATATCTAATCTAATTAGACAAACACCGGGGTTGAAAACTTACTTTTTTTAAATGCAAAATAAGGTTGTCCTATAGTCTCATGACTCAAGGGGGAGGCTTCAACAAATCACAACTTTAAGCAAAATACCAAATATCAACATTATAAAACTGCATCTCCTACAATAGGCCAATTTCAATCACAGAGGTTTGACTATTTTTAATGTGGATTTTAATAGTAGGAGCTTCATATTCTGATTCCTGCATTTAGTTGAAAACATAAAACATGTTTTTGTGGGGGGGCTTTTACAAGCCCTAAGTGAAAGCAGAAGGCAAATCCTTACCCCACAACAGTGGCAATTAGAAAAGAGAAATTTGAATTGGATTTCCTCAAATCCATTTCTAGCTGTGCTATTGATTTATTATGTGCTCTTGGAGAATCACTTTCCCTTTCCCCATCTGTATAATTATGATTTATTATTTGTATTACAATAGTAGCACAGAGCCTCTTACAAACCTCTTTGTCCTTGGTGTACTGGACCTGATAATGCTTAGCTACTTCACAGGTATTGTGAGGATATAAACCTTGTAAAATATTTCAAGATTCTTTGAAGAAAAGTGCTTTGCATGTTTAAAGTTATGATGAGCATATAGTGGTGCAACATGCAAGCAAGCCATTATTAATTGTTCTAACATATGAAGGAAAATATTTTGGAAATTAATTTAGAAAATCACATTTCATCAGAGAGCACTGGATGAGGGATTGAAGGGAAATTCTCAGCCTAGGAAAGCAAAAATGGTAGTGAGGGTGCATATTGCAATAAGACACTTAGGAGATCTTTCAAATACAGTATGATGAATTTTAAGCCACTTACTTAACTTTTTATAAATATTTTAACATATCTATGTGAATTAAAAAGTTTACTATAAAATCTGATATATTTTTGTAGTTTACTTTTGAGGTGAAACAAAAATCTTGCTAGAATCCAGAGACTATCAGCAAAACTGTACTTGAGTGACTTTTTGGACATTGAGTATTTGAGAAGAAACATGAAAGAATCCCCTTAGCCACAAAGTGACGAACATTTTGAATTAAGCATCCTCCAAAACTAGCCAGTAAGAAAGGAGTTTTCTTCAATCTTTCTAGGTGTCATTGATGTCAGAGATATAAAGCCAATGAAAGAATGGTAGTTATGTCTGAAGAAAAGTATTTTTATATATATTCTTGTCTAATAAATATCTATACTATAAATATTCTTATCTAATAAATACCTAAGGTGTTGGAACTAATCACTCTATTTTTCCTTTAAAATGGCAAATTTATAGTGGTTTTATTTCAAGCTCAAAAATGTATCATACACTGTAGTGATATCAATATTTCCGTTCAAGAGCCACATTCAAATAGACATTTTCATAAGGTTACAGTAGAACTTCTTAGTGTAGTATTACTCCAAGAAGTGATGATATACAATTTTTCATTTCCTTGTGCAGTTCTGATTTCTGCAGACTGAATCAGAGCCACTTACTTCAGTGACAGCAGTATTTTTTTCTTTTATTAGCCTTGCAAAGATAAAGCAGCTATGGGAGAGGAAGCTGGATTCTATTCAGTCTACTGTCTTACCCACAGAATTATTAACTGGGGCCCTGACATTAAAACTTATTTCATACAGGGGAACCCTTGCACTGCACAAAGCCAGCTGCAGGATCTAGATCTAAACTGCAATGGTGTAGGGGAGTCTAGACGGCCCTGCCTTGACCAAAACAACATCTGCATTGTCAGGCCCTGTCCTGGCATTGTCCAAAGTACAGATCTTTAACAAAGCAGAACCTAGACCTGTCTCAAGTCTGGTGTGCGTAAGCACGCAGGTAAGATTGGGGGAGCTTTGAGAGGCAGAAATGTTTTGCACAGTCATGCAGATACTACAAGGCACCACGAGACTATGTCAAGAAGACCAGAAACAACCTGGTACTGGTACATACCATTTCTGATAAGCGAAAAATTCCTGATACAGCCATAAAACTGTTAATTAAGCACATAGTTTTGCAACATCCTGAGTAGCCGGATGAACCTAAATATGGTCATAATAGGTATCTTACACAATAAGTAATTGATTGGTAGATATTATTAAAACGACCAAGTTGAGTATAAATAAAGGAGCAGAAAACATAATCAGTGGGAGGGATTAAGTGAGGCGTCCTCACTGCAACTCGAAGGTGAATGTGTTCCTACCGCCTGATGCATTGTGGATGTGTCTGCATGTGGGGAAAGGAAGAGGCCATGACCTTCCATCCAACAATTGTAAGGGTCTTAACGTTGGAACTGCATGTGATTTATAGAAATAAGTACATGTACATTCATATCCTTCAAATTGCATATCTTGTGTATTGTCCTAAGTGTCGGTATTATTACATTGTCTGTGCCAATTATCCTATTTATTGGAATAAATCTATGTAACTTTGCATTGCTGTTCTTTACTATTCTGTGCATAATAAAGTTAGAAAGAGTTTTTCTGAGGTATTTACTGGCTCCTTTTGAATAAAAAAATAAATCAAATCAGATGACAAATGGCAGTTGCTAATGTTTTCTCTTACAAACGTGAGGGAAATATTTTATCCTTCAGAATCTTTATTACTGGTGATGATGTGTGCAAAGAAATAGTTCGTTTGATATTTGGATCCCTGGTTGAGTTTGCCAGTTTTACCCCCATTTTTTAAACATTTGTAAGCAAATGTGATCTCAAATTGAGAAGTGACAAATGGGGAAACCCTGCAAATGCCGTATTTTCAAGTCTCATGACAAACTGCACTTCTAGGAAACAAACCAGCATATCGTTTGGAAGACTGGGGAAATAACTGCCTATACTTACTTTACCTAGAATCTCAGGTGCATGATGAGCACGTCTCAGATCACAACACTGATACCATGGCACGTAGGACTGAATCATCACTTTAGCAGTGTTCAACGGGGCAGTGCTGCATGGAGCCTGGGATCAGCTAGAGTTCCCAGCTGACACCGGGCTCCATGCAGCGCTGCCCCTTTGAAGTGTCAGGGCAGCGTTTCCAAGGGGCAGCACAAGGCAGAGCCCAGGATCATCTGGAGTTCCCAGTTGATCCCCGGCTCTACAATGGGCTGCCCTTTTGAAGTGGACTAGTTGATTCCTCCCCCCCCCGTGCTGCATGGAGCCTGGGATCAGCTAGAGTTCCCAGCTGACACCGGGCTCCATGCAGCGCTGCCCCTTTGAAGTGTCAGGGCAGCGTTTCCAAGGGGCAGCACAAGGCAGAGCCCAGGATCATCTGGAGTTCCCAGTTGATCCCCGGCTCTACAATGGGCTGCCCTTTTGAAGTGGACTAGTTGATTCCTCCCCCCCCCCCCCTTCAAAGGGGCAGTAGAGCCCAGGGTCAGCTGGGAACTACCCAGCTGATCCCGGGTTCTGCTTTTGGGTAAATGCTGCATGGTGCCCAGGATCTGCTGGGGACTCCCCAGCTGACCCTGGGCTCTATGTTGCACTGCCCCTTTGAAGCACCGCCCCGGCACTTCAAAGGGGCAGCGTAGCATTAACACCTGCGATTAACGCATTAAAAAATGAACATGTTAAGCCTGGACTGCGTTAATGGCAGGCGTTAACACATGTGAATTGACAGCTAAAATACATACATCTGTATATATGTAAATTAGTATCATTAGTGTATGTGTGCGTATGAATTAGTATCATTTATATGTATATATATTTGTTAATTAGTATCATGAGCTTTCGTGAGCAAAACCCACTTCTTCAAATGAGATGATCTTGAATGTTTGCAGCTTGCACGTTGCTCCTTTGCAGGAAACCGGCTGGGACTGAGCCCTCCAGCCCCAGCCCGCCTCTTGC